TTACTGATGGCTCATCTAATATGAAGTGGCAGGTTTAGGAATTGTTTTGGTACCACCTACGGGTGAAACCATTCGATAAGCCATAAAATGTCATTCTATAACTAACAATGAGGCAGAGTATGAAGCTGTGATTGCAGGTTTAGAACTGGCACGAGAACTCGGCATTATCAAATTGTAATCAAAAGCAATTCACAGCTTGTAGTTATCCAAATGCTGGGGACTTATATAGCCAGGTAAGCACGAATGCAGCAGTACTTAGAAAAGGTACGAGACCTAATTAGGCAATTCCAAACCTGGAAAGTTACGCAAATACCAAGAGATGAAAATGTCGAGGCAGACGCCCTAGCCAATCTCCCATCTGCGACAGACGTGACGAGCAATGAAAATGCCCCCGTAATTCATTTGTTTCATTCAGTACTCGATCCAGACAAAAATGAGGTAAATTTCAATAACTTAACCTGGGATTGGAGGAACGAGATTGTTGCTTTTTTGCAGTATGGTACCGTCCCTGAAGACAAGAAAAAAGCTCACGCACTTCGAAAAAAGACTGTTCGATATTGTTTAAAGCAAGGCAATCTTTATCGAAAAATGTTCGGTGGACCCTTAGCAAGATGCCTCGGGCCTTCTCAAACGGAATATATAATGAGAGAGATACACGAGGGTCATTGTGGAAATCACGCAAGAGGAAGATCATTAGTAAGAACCATGATTAGAGCAGATTATTATTGGCCTAAAATGGAAGAGGAAGCGAAAAGTTTCGTGGCTAAATGTGATAAATGTCAAAGATACGGTAATAACATGCATAGACCTGCGGAGTTGTTACATCCGGTCATTGCGCCGTGGCCTTTTATGAAATGGGAGATGGATATCGTGGGTCCTCTACCACAAGCAAAAGGCAAGGTAAAATTCTTGCTTGTACTCACTAACTACTTTACTAAATGGGTAGAAGCAGGAGCATTTAAACAGGTACGAGAAAAAGAAGTCAGAGATTTCATTTGGCGAAATATCATATGTCGATTCGGTGTACCAAAGGAAATCGTTTGTGATAATGGCCCGCAATTTATAGGCGCACAAATCACGGAATTTTTTCAAAGTTGGCAGATTAAAAGGATTACTTCAACACCTTATCATCTGGTGGGTAACAGATAAGCTGAATCGACAAATAAAGTCATTATCAACAATTTGAAGAAACGATTGGAAGAATCCAAAGGTAATTGGCCAGAATTGCTACCTGGTGTTTTATGGGCAAACCGCACGAGGGGGAGACGGTTCAATAGTCTTGGTAAGAGGAATAGAACGAGGGGGAAACGGTTCATCATCTGAAATAATTCGTCTTCTAGCCCGTGACCTTTTTATCAAAGAACCCTCGTCTTGCTCTTTTTCTTCTTCAGAGTCCTGATCAATAGTAGCTTTCCTTTTTGATGAAGAACACAAAATTATCTCTTGGGCCCTTTCCAAAGAAATTCTGGAAGCTACGACGGACTCAGCACTTACGCCTTGAATGGGAAATCCTGACAAAAAGAAGGATCAAAATAATTTCTGGAAGAAGCAATAAGTGAAATTATATAAAAAAAATCTCTACCGTGAGTTTTCACTTTCCAACCAAATCGATGAGAGAGGTTTTTCCAAGACCTACCTTCCATTGGAGCAACATTCAATAGCTTTCTTACCCAACCACGGAAGTTGGAAATTTCATCAACAGCTCCCATGGTTGCTGAAAAAGAAAAGGAAAATTAAGATGATGATCATCAAAATTGAGAAAAAGGTACGAGAAAGTCATTAAAAAGAAAACTCATGTGCAAAATTCCACTTCTCAGGAAAAGGAACATTTTCATCACCCACTAAATCAACAGTGGGGGCAGCAACAAACCTGGCGTACCAGCCACGGTCTTTGTCATATTTTGGACTGACCAGAACTCTTTTGCTCCTTGCCACTAGAGTGAAGACTCCTTGGCGAAAGAGTTTGGGAGAATAGAGATGGATTAAATGAAAAAATATCAAAGGTATACCAACCATATTGGCCAAATGCCTCAAACAAGCAACAACCCTCCACACAATAGGGACAATTTATCCTAAACAGACGTCGAAAAAGCGACAGAATTCGAGGATAACAGGGTCAATAGCAGGTTTGAAACCCAACGTGAAAGGGTATGTATAAACAAAAGAAAACCCAGTCAACTAAGAGGTGATTCTTTGGTACGCATTGGGGATTATAATGGGGAAGTCATGGCTCCAATGACAATCTCTACGAACTACTGAAATTAGACCTTCAGTAATTTGAGTCGGGTAGATATCAGCACGATATAATGAAGACAATTGATTTCTAATGGATTCTCTATCATTGTAGAAAGATAGTTCCGCATGAACAATTTCATCCACTAAAGGTTCATGAAGAGGTTCAGTGGGTTCTTTAGTCCTAGATGAAGATCTTTGAGAAAGTGAACCCCTAGTTCTAGAAGGAGTAGTAGAACTCAATGAAGGAATAGAGGGGCCTCGTGACGAAGAAGACCCTAAACTACGAAGCCTTCCTCCTCTTCTACTTCTAATAGGAGCAAGAGAAAGATTGTCAACAATGGGGACTCTCCGAGGGTTAGGGTTTGAAGAAGACATAGTAGTACGAGGAAGAAGAAAATTAGAATTGAATATTCTAAACTTTTGTGAAAAAGACAAAGGTAAAAAGTTATATTTATAGTCAGAAGCAACCGTCAAAGGAAAAGGTACAATGATGGAAATGTCATAATGAGAACTGACGCTTCGTAATTGGTGAAGCCGTCAAAAAGCCTTAAAAGGCGCTGAAGGGTTGCAGAGCCAACCAGGAGACGCGACGTGTCATGGACATTAAATGGAAGAGATAGTTGAAGCATCAGTTCCAGGGAAAAATTAATGGCGGCAAATATTCCCGCTTTAATGAGGTCCACTTCTTAAATATTCTATTGATGAATAAATGGCAAGTGGGGGGACTATCTGTATTGGGGAAAATTAAGTTTATATATGGAATTCATTATAAGATGACACGTCATGACAAGTGGACCATTCAAAGAGGGATAGGAGAAGAAGAATAATCAAAGAGGCATGAGCTTCAACAGGCACGGGCAGATGTTCAGGGAAAAAACGAGGAGGATAGGCTCTCGAACCTCTTTATGATGGAAGGGAATGAATCTGATAGTAAATAAGGTATAGAAACGTACTATTAGACATTAAATACGGGAAACGCTAAGGAATTTGTATTGAATCAAATATGATTGTTGATTGTAATGTTGCATTAAATGTCATTAAATGCCATTAATTGACAACAATGACTCAATTATGGTAGAAACGAAACGTATTACCTAGAAATAGCTATAAAAGGAGAAGACTGATAGGGCACGAAATATCATCGGAAGAAACTGATTTACTTTGCTTTCTTCTGTTCATCTTATTATTATCAAAGTCAATTTCTTTTATTCATTTTATACTTGATTATCAGTAACCCGAGTTCTTCTAAAATAAAGTTTTGACCGAAATTCCTATTTTTGGTTAAACAATTTCCACGTTCTTTTTCAGCGTGAACATCACAAACTACTGCCACATAAGCATGGTCAAATTTAAGTGGCCCGGAGGCTATTTTTGGGAACGTTTTGCCCTTTAACGAAGACCTACACAGTGCAAATTCGGAATAGTCTGGCCAAAGGAGTATTAAAAAAGAAGTTCCATGCACAGTCAGCCAGATAAGGCTATGGCTTTTTTTGTTTTTTGTTTTTAAAGTGACAGACGAGTTGTCAATACGATCATCTGGCACTATTTCAAAATAATTACCAAGAGTTAAAGTTGAAGTATATAGATTGAATAAAGTTTAATCGTCCGACGCTTTGTTTACTAGATGTTACAGATAAAGGTGTTGGCCATCCAACTCGGCAGCAGTTTGTTACACGAAATTAATTTTGAGACTTAGAAGGAATGTGAAGTAGAAGATATATCAAATGTATTGCACTCTAAGGAGATATTTTATCCATAGGCTCATGTACATATAAATATATTGCATGCATTAATTTTATAATCGCTGAATGTATACCACAAATTTCCCTTCCTCTCTGCGTGCTTTAGCTTATTATTTCTCGAATATATACCTGAGTCACTGAAAATTGTAGAATTTCCTATCGAAATTACGGTCAAGCGTCCAGGTAATTCCTTCTAAGTGAAATGTTTAAATCCAGTCCAATGAATGATTACTCCTTCGTAAAGGATAAGGATTTCTTGGATTAAGATATTGTTACTTGATGTGAAGCCCGACTAGAAGATAAAAGGAACATCCCTTGATCATTTATCAAACAACTACTTGTAAAATCTTCAAAGGGTCATAAGATGTAACTATTTTGGTTCATTTCTCCTCTTTTTATAATCCAAAAAAAAAAAAAAAAAAAAGCTTCTGCAAATGCATATTATTTTTGCTTAAACTAATTTTATTTTCATATTACCAATTTCTTGGAATGTCTGGAATTCTATTAACATTATTGAGTTTAGCTTCAGGTCTAAATGTATTTTGTAGTCCAATTCAGTTTTGACTTCCAAATTCCAAAAAAATTCAATGTCAATCACCTGTTGAATTTCTCTTTTTCTTAGAAATTTAAAGATACACCATGAATAAAGGAGTTGAATTTACCGCAAAGAAATATAAGTATTACAGTGTCGAATTTTCAGTTTTTAAATTCTTTAAAGTATGAAATTTTTTCCTTTACTGTTTCCCAACTCCCATACCTTCCGTCCTACAACGGTACTCTACTGTTAACTGACAGGAGTCTTGGTTATTCAAAGTTTGATATGAATGCTCTTTGAATAACATCATACAAATAACAGCTCTACTCTTGGTACAAGTCCAGAAATTCAACTACTCTATCACTCTTTTCCTATACTTCCAAGGTAACAGAGGGGGGAGAATTCAGACCGCGCTTCACGTACAGATTATTATCCAAGTCGAACCAGTAACCAACAGGACAATTTGCATAACCACAACTCATCAGAAGTATAAAAGAAAACCTCGAATTTCTTTTAATTCAGAATAGTTACTCGGACAGCATCCAATATGAGATTACTATGCCCAGCTGAAAAGTATTTACACTAGGGACATTTGTGCGATACTATCTGTATTTATCAGTTATCGCTATAACTACAGTTGTATGAAACCTACCTCTCCTTGTAGCTTATGCTATCGCTATCCTTGATTTCATCTTTTGACTCTTGGTAGCTCTCTTAATACATTTCCCGCTTCAATGGCTTCCATCAAAGTCCCAAGCTGCACCTCAAAGATAAATAGCAACACATTCAGCTATATTAAAAACGGAGATCCTGTTGTGGGGAAATTTCAAGTTTACCTGCTTCACAATTTATGCATCTTTTTCTTTAGAAGGATATTCAACTTATACAGATTCAATTTATGTATTTTCTCATCCTTCATTTTCGACCTCCTCTCAACTTAAAATATATATTCAGAACAATGTTATAAACAGGACATGGAATGAATAATGTGGTTTCAATTATCATTTATCCATCACAAGGATAAAACTCTCAAACTCCTACACACGAAAATTGTAGCGCAGAGCTTATTCTCCATAGAAGATGACCACATTTCAGATAATAAATCGAGTTTGTAAAGGAAAGCAAGTCCATTCTGCAATTCTACATCAACCACAAACATATCTTGAGAAAGCAGCTGATGCCAAAGCAACAAAAAAAGTTCATCAGACCATTAACTTTTCTCAGCTATGGTCACTTGAGATTTGGAATATCTTATGCAGACCTCCATATGCACGAATCTGTAGGTGACATATACTATGATAATTGAAGGTGATAAAGGAGAGGAGCTAGACCTAGAATCACATAAACGAAAGTAGTGTCATAAGCAGGGGCGGCCCTTCCATAATGAGACCCCATATTTGTTACACCTAATAAACTATGTATAACTTTTAAAAAAGTTATGTAAGTGAAAAAGTTTGATTTCTTTTTTTAACAAATATAGATAAGAGGATTTACAACTGCTATGATTTCTACCAAGGAAATTGCACTTGAAATGAATATCGAACCCGATTTCGTAAGAAACGTGTGATAAATAAGAAGTAACAATTTGATGCGAATGTTAATAATGAAATCTCAAAATCTTTCGAAGAGTACTTTAGAGTTGATTACTTTTATACATAATAGACAAGGCTGTTTTTTCACTTCAAAATAGATTTGAACAATTCGCAGCATATGAAAATATTTTTGGTTTTCTATTTGGCGGCAAAAACTAAGATCACTAGATGTTGAAAATTTTAAAAAATATTGCCTTAATCTTGACTGTACCTTAAAGCATAATAATCAATTCGTATTTAATGGTTTAGATTTATTTTCTGATAAAAGTATTAAGGAAAATAGTACAATTAGAAGATAGCAGTTTAATTGATACACTTAACAAAATAAAAAGATTTAATTCTTTTCCAAATGTTTAAATTGCTTATGGAATAATGTTAATAACTCATGTTACTGTTGCTTCAGTGGAAAAAAGTTTTTAAAATTAAAATTGATAAAATCTTACCTAAGATCAACAATGTCACAAGAAAGGTTAAATGAATTAGCTATATTGTCAATTGAGAAATACTTATTAGGAGTTATTGATTATAAGAAAATTATTAACAACTTTGTATCTAAGAAAAGCTTAAAAACAATAGACTTCAAATATATAATAATTTTTTTTTAAATTAAGGCCCCTCATAAAGTTTGGTTTTAGGCCACAAAATTCGTCGGGCCGCCAGTGGTCATAAGACTTACTATCTCTGCATTAATGACAACTTAATTAAGACAAATTACAATGTGAAACAAAGGATCCATAGTGGTAATAATTATTAGCAAGGATCAAGGCATAATTTTTGTTGTTACACTCGAAATAGGTTTGTGATTGACCAGGAGTGCTTTTTTGTTAGAGACTTGTTTGTCCATGCAGGGAAGAGCAACATCTAGAGAACCTCTAGTTTTAGAAGAATTCCTACTTTTCGTTCAAAGACAAATTACTACGCATTGGAAGGACATTTGCCTGAATAGCGGGATAGATACACATAATTCATACAGCCAACCCCAACTAGTCTATGGTCGACGTGTACTTGATTAATGATTGAATTAAATTGTAAAGAATCTGTTGACACCTGGCCCAAAAGGCAAAAATTCTAAGAAAAAAGCTACTTATAAGAAGTCTTTTATACTATCTGCAACATATTGGGAACATCAGGAAACCATGATTAACTGATCAGATAAAGAATTCCCAATAGGTACTTGAACTAATCCTAGTTCACTTCCTCTTCAAGGTCGGTGTAAAGCTATTATTCTTTCTTTTTATTAACTGATTATCACTCTTGTTTGCTCTGGAATTTGATTCTCGTCGGGCTAGCTTAGATCAATCAGTTCAAGCATTGACAAACCCGCCTCCCTGTATGTTTTGACAATCTGCTCAAGTCTATCATGTTCTATTGGGAAAAAGCCAACACAGCTATACTGGTGACCCTTCTTGTCAATAAAGTCAAAATAAAATGAGGATTCCTCCACTTCTAGCAAAATGCCTCACTCACCAGTCTTCAGTAAGGCTGTAGGGATGCAAAGATAAGTGTATGATGCATGGTATACTAACCAACTAGAAAGACATGACTTGTTAGATATTGAATTATTACAACTAAAATAGAGCATTAAATTGGATTACGAAGGGGCATTATTTACAGCTCCGCGATCTTCTGACTAGAGCATCAAGTTTGTGTAACCCATCCAAAGTTGGTCATTGGCATGATTAAGATTTTTCAGAATGGGTTAAATCCAAATTAATCCATCAAGTTTTGGGCCAAAATAAGCTAAAAGAATGCAACCAGATGATTAGTTCGCAACTCTCTAATATGGCTAATATGATTACTTCTCTCTGTTTCATTTTAAGCAAAGTTGCTTGACAAAGCACGGAGTTTAAGAAAGAAAGAGTCTTTTGAAAATTGTGGTATTTTTGTGACTATAAAATCACGTCTTAAGGGTAAAATGAAAACTTTATAATTATCTTTTTTTTTTCTAAATATATAAAGGTGTCATTATTTTTGGAAAAGATTAAAAAGGAAAAAGCGTCACATAAAGCTGCACAAAAGGAGAACTTAATTTCCTAACTAAAAATGCAAGAGATGAATAAACAAATCGAGAGAAAAAATTATTTGACCAAATTGTAACCATCCACTTGTAGATTTAGAATTTCTTCAGTCAACAGCCCAATTAGCATCACTATTACATCCCAAATAGAAGATGTACATTTGTAATGCAAACCATAGTTTAAACTTTAAAGTATGCTTCAAATATTTCATTATTTTACTAATGCTTTTCCAATGCTCATGACTAGGATTACTAGAAAATCTACTAAGCTTACCAACAACACATGCAATGTCTTGTTTAGCCTAACTCAAGACATCAAATTACCAATTATTTTAGCACACTCTTCTTGATTAACCGGATCATTAACATTAGGCACAAGGCACTAATTTAGTGTGAGGATTAAGAGGAGTTTAACTTGGTTTGCGGTCATAATGATTAAATTTTCCAAAGTATTTTCTCAGTATAAAATGATTGTGTGAGAAAATCAATTTCTTTTCTAACTACTTTAATTCCTAGTATACATCAACAAGACCTAAACATTAATTCATTAGATATTGCTCAGTTTCATAACCACATGCTATGTTAGATCCAAAAATAAGCAACTCATAATATATAAAGATGTAAGAACTTTATAATCATGTGTGTGTTTTTGCCTTCATAGAAAATACACTCTTCTACTTTACCACACTTAAATCCAATATAGTTAATCTAAATTTTTCATACCATTATCTTGTCTCTTGGTTAAGACCATATAAAGATTACCTGAGCTTTCATACCTTGTATTCTTCTCATTTCACCACATAACCTTCAGGTTGTTGGATATAAAAATTTCATCTAACTCACCATTGAGAAATGTCATTTTGGCATCCATTTGCGGAGCTTCTTCTTTTGGCTATAACCTTTTGCAACTAGTGTTACTTTATAACTACCTATACTCCCATCAGCTTTAAGTTTTAGAACCCATTTACAACCAATTGCCGAAGTATTAGGAGGAAACTTTGTCAAAGTCCAAGTGTTATGATCATAAATTGATATAATGTCACCATCAACTTCATTGTATGTCTTGAAGACATTTTTACATGGAGTGACATGGACTGCTACTCCTCTTTTTTATCCACCATATGAATTTAGGTAAGAACGACCATCATGTTATCAACTTATCATCCTCATCCATGGAATTGGCTTCTTCTCTCTTACCTTTGAAAATTTTACAAACTCTAACCAAATGCCCATTTTACTACATTTAAAGCAAAGTTCTCTTTTCTTCTACATTCCAGGGCAGGGGTAAAGCTGCGTACATCCTACCCTCCCCAGAACCCACTTGTGGGACTACACTGGGTTTGGGTTGTTGTTGTTGTTGTTGTTCTCTTTTCTTCTTATTAATTCTGCTCTTGGATTCAAATCATTTTTCTTTTTATTTGAAAAAGTCTAGTTTCCATTGTGAAACCCGTTGACCTTGGATTTAAAAGATATTAAGGTGGAATCTTCTACATTGTGCAGTTTGACCTTTTCATTATTAACAAATATATCTCTGTTCCTAACTTCATTCTCAATTTGTGTTGAAGTAGTAGATCCAAATTCAAAGGCTTGCTTATGCTTAAATTTCATTTGGTAATCTTTCCATGAAGGGGGAAGTTAAGTTTACTAATAATTATAGATACTGCAAAAGTTTCAGAATAATAGGAGTAATAGAACACTTGTTTTTCATAAACTGGAAGCCTAAGCTAATGAATTCAGCTAGTTCATACAAAACCAATGTTTTTCCCTTGTTAAATTATATCCAGGCATGATTCCTCTTCCTTAATATCCAACTTTTTAACTAAGTGTCACAAATCAAAAAAAAAAAACTAGACATTTTGGGAAAGAATTCAAGAGTAGATCTGGCAAGTCATTACATAAAAAGAGTAAAATGCACCAGGAGCACACAATTGTAACTAACATACTTTTCAGCAACAATTATTTACAGAAAAAGTACTCAAAGTAACACACTTTTTTTAGTCATTTTGTTTTGATGGTTTAATAGATACTTAAATCAACAAGGATATAGTCAGAAAAAGGAAGGAGAGGATAAGGGGAAGAACGAAAAATTAGAGCATCCAGTGTAAACCAGAACAGCAGAAAAGGATGAATGCCGGAAAAGAACAGAAAAAACAAAGGGGCTAATAAGAAGAGTGTCGATGCCATGGGCAGACAGGGAATTTCCAAGGAAGAAGAGAGGACGAAATGCAGAAGCGGTGAATAAGAGAAAACAGGACGTACCAAAGAAAGAAAAAGAAAGCGGAAGAAGAAGTTGCTGACGCAGTAGCTTGAAAGCAGGATTCTAGGAAAGAACAGAAAGGCATCAAAGGATTAATGAAGAATAGGGAAACAAGAAGATTCTTACACATGGAGAAGGAAAAGAAAATCAGAGGGAGAGAAGAAGCCGCTTGGATCCATAGAATCACTAGTGATCTGATAGGAAGGAAGAACATGAATAAGGGGCAGACAGGCAAGGAAGCGCGTGCGACAGAGAGAGAGAGAGAGAGAGAGAGAGAGAGATACCGAAAATGAGGAGGTGCTGCAGGAGCAGCAAAGCGACAATGAGGAAGGGGAGCTGACAGGAGAAGAAAAGGAAAGGGGAAAAGAGAGGAATGAGAGGCTGGGTACGGAAACCAATAATAGGTCACTGCTGACATGTCAGCACAGGGAAGAATAGAAAGAAAAGAAAAGAGTTAAATTGCGTGATAGCTTCGGTTTACTATGTTCTTCTTTATTCATTTCTATTCACCAAAAAAAAATAGAAAGAGAGAGAGAGAGAGAGTGATCCACTATTAAGTCAAGATTGAAGCAGCTATTAAGTCATAGCATATAACATAACAGATGCAGAATAACACAACACAGACATGCATACATATATACCATTAATAAAAGCGTATAAGAAAGAAAATGAATCAATAGAATAAACATAAGGAAAAAAGCCTGGTACTTAGAAGACATACAAATGAGATATTGTTATTTTGAATGAAAAAGAGAACATAAATGATAGTATGGATTAATTAAATGTTGCTTCATTTCCAAACATGAGGGCAAAAACAAACCTGTGTATTACTGCATTGATAAAAAATCAAGAGCACCATCGAGAGCTTTAAATCAGTGCTTGAGTTGGCGCGCGTTCCAGCTTCTTCTCCTATATTTTCTTTTGCTGACCTGAATGCTCTTATAGTATTTTTCAGTTTCATATCTTTGAAGGTTGAATACATCAGCCAAGCATTCTGGTATTGCTTGAAGCTTCCAAAAGACATAAGAACAAGTTGCTTTAGCCCAGAAAGTTGCGATTCGAAGCCCTTGAGTTTTTTCAAGTTTGTCCTTCAATCCACATAACTATGGAGACCATCAATGAATCCCATTAATACATTCTCTTTCAACTCTAAGACTTCAAAGAAATCGATTCGTCTGGATCTTCATAAGTATGAACAACCAAGGCCACAAATTCATGTTAACCACTCGGCAAGAAGATATGTCAACTTATTGCAATGCAAATATTAATAAGCTAAAGTTTCTAGAAGATGATTAAAGTTGGATTTTGCTTTTAAAAAGGTTTTCAAGTTTGAAAGTTGCTCAAATACTGAGTTAGAAGAACAAGGAAAAATATGATGGACTACCTGAGCTTGTAACTCCACTATATTTTTCAGAATAAGTGGTAGTCCACTATATTTTTCAGTTATGATTTTTCCTTGTTCTTGTTACTCATTACTTGAGTGCAACTTTTAGACTTGAAAACTTTATTCTAGCAAAATTCAGCTTTCATCATCTTCTGAAAACTCTCTTACGGATATTTGCATTGAAATAAGTTGTGACATTTGCTTGCCAAATAGTTACCATGTTCATGTGGTCTTGGTTATTCATACTTCTGAAAACCCTGAGGAAGTTGACCTTCATACTTCTGAAAACCCGGAGGAAGCTGACCTTCTCTGGAACCAGTTAGAGGGGAGCGAACTAACTATTGTAAGAGAAATCAATGTCCTTGAAGTCCTAAAGTTAAAAGAAAATGCATTCATAGAAGCCAGACATTGGTGGCCTCTTTAGTCTCTTAGTGTTGCGGATTGAAGGACAAACTTGAAAACCTAGAGGGCTTAAAATGGCAACTTTCCTAGGCTAAAGCAACTTGTTCTATATCTTATAGCAAACTTGAAGCAGTCCCAGAAAACTTAGCTAATATATCAAATATTCAAGATATAAACTGAAAAATACTACAAAAGCATTCAGATCAGTATGGCACATGTTCTTGCCGAGTGGTTATCATGATCCTATGGTCTTGGTCGTTCATACTTCCTAATTAGCAGTATTGGTAAATGATATTAGGCTTCGAAGAGTGATAAGCCCCTTGAGAACAAGAATTGGCTAAATACAATTGTAAACCAGTAAAAAGAAAACAGAGTGAGCCACAACAACATCATTTGATCAATCACTCATTCTGTCTTTGAACCAAACATAAAAATTAGACTTTCTATAACACAGGTTATCAATTTTTGTTGTCTAAACACATGGAGTTCAGATTAAACTACAAATAATCTACTCATGACAATATCACTTTCATGTTCAATTACTGTGAATAAAACAGGAAAACAGGACTGACAGAGATAATAAAGATTCAATTCACCATCACCTAAATTACCAAACATGTATAAAAATTAAGTTCAGAATTGACACACTTAATCAGTTGTACATGTTGCCAGAGTACCAACTATTTTGAAAATCATAGATTATGCCAAACATACTTGGACATCAAACAAATGAACCCAACAATTTAGTAAAGCCTTTAAAGCATCCGGTTCATATTTAAATAAAAAAAAGACAAGTAGAAACCCTCAAACTGCCTATCAGATGAATGTCTCAACTATTCAAAAGACGAACCCAGAGGCAAAGTCTCCGCTAACGCAACTGAACTACAATTTCTTCAATTCATCTCTACAATCTCATTAAACCTCACAAACTATTTATTATTTTAGGAGTCAGCTTATCTTATTTGAGCCCACCCACCACCTTTAAATTTATTCTTTGGGCCAAGATCAATTCAAATCAAGCCCAACTCTCTTCTGTCTCAAAACTTGGCCCAACAAATCTCTTTATGTTCTTCTCCACACATGGCCCATTTCAAATTCTCCAACTCAAGTTTATCAAATTCCCAAATTCTTTTAGAGGCTTCATGCATCAATCTATCAACCGTCTTAATATCGAATCAAATAAACGGGAAATGCTCAGCAGCACAATTGAAGACACAACATTTCCAAGTGAACATGAGGATAAACAGTAAGCATTTGATATGTATGAACAAATCATGATACCAGCTCCTTTTGGAATACCAAGACAACTTTGACCCAAGAATTTCACTGAAAAATGGGCTTTTGGCCCCAATCAAATTTCTAAATTTTCTTGCTGTCACCCGTGACACTTAAAAAAAACTAAGAAGATTCAGGACTACTATAATTCAAGACCACTTGCAGAATGAAATTGAAGTGTGACCTAACAACAACAACATACCCAGTGTGATATATGGGGAGTGTGGGTGTACGCAGACCTTACCCCTACCGGGTGAGGTAGAGAAATATGACATAATTGACTTTGAATTTACCTTATGACACCTGTTATTAATGAAACTTATGATAATCAATTGTCCCTAAAAACAAAGAGCAAATGACTAAACGACAATCCAAGTTCTCATTTTATTTCCACAAGCCTATACCTAAAAAAGATCTCTCCGGCCCAGAAAAATCACAATTCTTAATTAAAAGCCCAAAATTTGTTTATTCTCTAATTCATTTGGAAATGACACCAAGTAGCTACTTTACGGGGCTGCTATTTAGAATTAACCGGTGCATTCTGAATTTCAGGTTTTCAGCTATATTTTTCAGGATAAAAATTTCATGAATTGTCCTGAAGTAAAGATTTATAGTTTAAAATTTCAGGACAAAATAAGTAAGACTAATCTTTGAATAACATCCATGAGAATGGCTATCTGTGGTTTTGCCCCCAATTCATAGGCTCTCAAAATTAACCCATCAAATGCCCAAAATAAAAGAAACCGCATGTCATTAAACCCATAAGCAAAAAAAAAAGTCAATTTGAACCCTGATTTTATTCTTCATGCAAACCCATAATCTTCAATGTAGTGATATAAGCACAGACAACAATGATACTAATTTCTAGAGTTAGAAATGGACAGATATGCTGAAGAGGGAGTGTAATCAGCAGCAACCTACAACATGGATACCCTGAAACGGACTAAAGACTTTACTAATTCAATACCAGACATAGATTGAACCAAAACACAACGAGAATGAAACTGACAATTTAAAAGCTAGGCTTCAACACTTAATACCAGACTTAGATCCATGCCCTATTCCTGTGAGAACACACGAAACAAACTCGAAACAAGGATTAAACTAATCTACAGAATGACATAGAGCCGTCAAATTAACATCAATCCCTCTTCTTGGGCCCAAAGACTGATGCCCAAAATAGCAAATATTCTGAATTATTCTTAAACACGCTTGGAAAGTGAACTACGGAGACTAGGACGCAGGTATCATGCTTTAATTCAAAGAAAGCACCACATAAAGTGATAAACAGAGAGGAGGGAGGAATGGACCTTACCAAAAAAATCGATTAATAGAAAAGAATCCCAGCAATGCCGCAAATTCCGGTGCCGGAAATTTCAAGTTGCGAGAGGCACTTGGAAAAGAAATCGCGATCAGAGCCTCCAGTTTCTAATCGGAATCCATCTCAGAATCAGATTGTTTTGTTTCTCAATGTACAAGAGTATTTATATAAGAAAAGGCGTACCCGCCTACTTTTGGGTTAATTCTTCACCCGCATTTTTAGGTAAACTAAACAAAATATTGGTCATATTTATTGTTTACTTTTATAGCCATATACATAGATTATACAATAATTATATACAATTATACCTATATAATACATAAAATATGCTTATATATATTTTCGCCGGCTATTTTTAGTTTAAGCAGTTGGATGGGCGGCTATATAGGTTAACTCTTTAAATTTATTATTTATTTTTTCTAGTTATATACTTAGACTGTGTATTAATTATACATAATTATATACGTATAATATATAAATTATACATATATTATACCTCTAATAACTATTTTTAATTTAAGTGGTTGGATTACTCGTGTGGTTGGATAGCCCTTCTTCACCTGTTGTGTATATATAGCTAACGATGATACTATGTTGCCATGTACAAGTAATAAAAATTCTCAAACACATCAGCTGTTATTTATTGGGAATGGCATTCGTCATCGCTGTTTTGTATGGCGCATGTGGTTCCACGTGCCTTCTTACTTGGATCGATTAAACTTGGAACGACGACCAAGTTAAAATATAATTTTGACTCATAGAAGCTCTCTCTAACTTCTCTCTTCAACCTTCCATGAGAGCAGACTTAACATCCTTTTTAAGTCGCACGAACAGAACAAATATTTTTGTAAGAGTTCCAATACCTTGAATGGAACCGTAATGTATTTAGCTTGTGGTGTTCTTCTTATTATCATTAACTCTGGTTATAGTCGAAACACCAATTTCTTCCAGATTCAAACTAGTGATCAATCTTGAAGAACATGAAAGAGCTTAGTTTATCCAAACAAGTGACCGACTTACTCTTATTTTTGTGAATCCTAAGTAGTGCATCGGGTGTTATTCATTATCTGTTCCTTTGTTCTGCTGATTGACATCTACAATCTGACTAGCTCTTACATGCTTTGCAGCTGCTTTGGATAATTTTATTACTAGCTTCTTTTACTGCTCTTGTTATCGAATCCCTGGCTGCAAGTCTAGGGGTTGCTCAGGTTCATGATTTTCTATTGCTTGATCTTCTTATTAGTCTAAGCAGTAGTAGAGTGGTGATAACAATGTACTCCTAGCTTTGTTACCGGGAAGCATTTAGCGGAGCATTGCAGAAAGGAGTATGCAAAGGTGTCAAATTTCATCTTATGAATCGTAGCAGATATCACTATTATGGCGTGTGACATTCCTGAGGGTGAGGGGTTGTCCAAATTTGACATAATGTGAACTTCAAATTTTTATTGATACAAATTCATAAGTTGACCTTTTACTTTTCTTAGCGTGCTTACTAGTCAGCAGGTTTACTATAGTCCTGCATGTTCCACTTTGACTAATAATAATTTTGCTCTATTAACTTGGTACAGAGATTAGCCATAGCAGAACGAATGAAGAGAAAACCCTAACATTGAGAGAAGAAAGATACCGAAGGTTCGAGAGAAAATAATGAGCTGGCCAAAATGACTATTGACCAAAAACTAATTCACTTCCCAGATATTGTGCTTTTATATTTACAGGTATGTGAAAATAAAAATACAAGTAAATGTATAAGTGGGCCTGATCTCTTCAGTTACACTAGTGGGCCAGCTGCTTTCCTTTGTTAGATTGGGCTAGAGTCACACTCTGGTCAACACCCCCTCAAGCTTGAGGGTGATATCACACCAAGCTTGGAAAGAAGCTCATGATGAGGCTGCCCAGTGAAAGCTTTGGTCATAATATCAGCCAACTAATTTGAGGAAGAAACATAATGAAGAGAAAGCAAACTAGAAGACAAGCATTAGCGGATATAGTAACAATCAATCTCAATATGCTTCGTACGCTCGTAAAAAACAGGATTCTTAGCCATGTGTAAAGTAGCTTGTGAGTCACAAAACACAGAAACTGGCCTGGTGATGAGCAAACCAAGATCGCCCAAAAGCCTAACCAGCCAAGAAATTTTAGCAGCTACCTTTCGAATGGCCCGATATTCAGCCTCAGCAGATGAGAGAGAAATGGTAGGTTGCTTTTTACTCTTCCAAGAAACAGGGCTGCCACCAATAGTAATATAATATCCACTAACAGATTTGCGAGATACCACACAGGAAGCCTAATTAGAATCAGAGTATGCTAGCAGTGAAAAATCTGAAGAACTGGAGAGGAGAACACCTTGAGCAGGATCATTCATGAGGTATCGAAGGACATGCAAAGTAGCCATCATATGGGGAACTTGAGGCTTTTGTAGAAATTGACTCAAATGTTGTACTGAAAAAGAAATATCAGGTCTGGTGTTTTGCAAAAAATTCAACTTCCCAACCAATCGTCTATATAAGCTAGGATCAGAGATAAGCTCTCCCATGTCCATAGTAAGCTTGACAGAAGAATCCAAGGGGGTCAAGACAGAAGAAAAATGAATCCAATTGAACTCAGAGAGAAGATCAGATGTGAATATATGTAGACTCATAATGTATCTTTGAGGATGAAGAGAGATCTCCAACCCTAGAAAGTAATGCACTAAACCTAAATCTTTGATTTTAAAAGTGGAATCCATATAAGACTTCAAGGACTGCATTTAGATAAATCATTTCCAGCTAACAGAATATCATCACCATACACAGCCACCACAACCAGAGAATCAGAAGTAGATTTGTTGAATAAGGAGTAATCATTGAGACTTGAAATGTAGCCTTTGGAGAGCAAAGCTTCAAACAGTTTAGAAAACCACTGTCTCGAGGCTTGCCTAAGGCCATAAAGGGACTTCTTGAGTTTGCAAAGAAGAAGAAGAAGAAGAAGAACTAGAGATATCAAGACCAGGGGGTACCTTCATGTAGACCTCCTCACAGAGATCGTCATGCAAAAATGCATTATTAACATCAAGCTGAAAAACAGTCCACTTGTTCTTGGTAGCCAGAGTTAGTAAGCATTTGATAGTATTGAGTTTAACAACAGGTGAAAAAGTTTCTGTAAAGTTAATACCCTCTTTTTGAGAATCACCCCTTATAACTAGTCTTGCTTTATACCTTTCAATAGACCCATCAGCCTTTTGCTTAATTTTATACACCTATTTACAAGGAATAGCCTTTTGTGAGGAGGAAGAGGCACTATATCCCATGTCTGATTTGCCTCAAGAGCTTGAAATTCCTTTAGCATAGCCTCTTGCCAAGCAGGAATGGAAGCAGCCTGCTGGTAAAATTGAGGCTCATACATGTGCAAATCAACAGAAGATACCTTGGTAGATGGTGGAAATGTAGGTGAGAGTATAGATAAACAGACATAGTCTTTAAGGTGAACAAGTTGTATAACTGGTCTAGAAGATCTCCTTAGAGGGGAATAGAAGGAGGAGTAGGTGAAGGAGCAAATAAAAAGGAAGATGGAGAAGAGGAAGGAGCAGGCAGAGAGACTGGAGAAGGATGAGAGGAAGAGGAGGAAGGGGTAGGAGAACTATGAGGTGGACTGGAGTAGGTAGAAGGAGAAAGAGCACTCCTATGAGTATGAGAAACAGGAGTAGGCAGGACATCTACAGAATCAGGAGTAGGTAGAGGAAATAGAATAGGAGAGGAATCAGATCTGTAGGAAAACACATGTTCATGGAAAACAACATCCCTAGAAAAGAAAATGGAGTGATTGGAAATGCTAAGAAGCTTATAGCCTTTTTTGCCATAGGGATAACCCAAAAAAATAAAGGGAATTGCCCTAGACTGAAACTTATCTCTCCCTAGTTTGGGAGAGGTGGCAAAACACAAGCACCTAAAGGACTTGAGGTGTTCATAGGATGGAGGAATTCCATATAATTTTTCATAGGGTGAAAGGTTCTGAATAACAAATGAAGGCATTCTGTTGATGAGGTAAGTTGCAGTTAGTACACAATCACCCCAATATTTGAGAGGAAGATTAGATTGGAAAAGAAGAGATCTGGACACCTCAAGCAGATGTTTGTGTTTTCTTTCTATAACTCCATTCTGTTGATGAGTGTGTCGAATGGTAGTTTAGTGTAAAATCCCTTCACTGTTAAAGAAATGAGTTCCTTCAGAACTGCACCCAATTCAAGAGCATTGTCTGACTTAAAATTTTTAATAGGGAATTTAAAATGCACTTTGACCATGGCTGTAAAAGCCTTATTTGTGGAAAGTGCATTGCTTTTGCAAGAAAGAAGGTGAGTTCAAGTAGCCCTTGTAAAGTCATTTATTATGATCAAGAAATATCTGAACCCATTGTAAGTTTTAGTGTTATAAGGAACCCAATATCAATATGGACTAATTAAAATGGGGCAATAGATGTATAACACTTTCAGGAAAAGGCAGTCTTTATTGTCTAGCCATTAGACAAATAGAACACAAGAAAGATTGTTTAGGTGGTATTTTGTCAGACAAATATGTAATGGACTTCATTTTGTGGAAAGGCATATGTCTCAATCTTTTATGCCAAAACAAATTCACTTTATTAGATGTAGATGTGTGATTACAAGAAACAACATCAACAACATGATCTACTACAGGACTAGTGTTAACAGAAGGAACAGAAACAGGTAAACCAATAGATGAATGAGAAGAAGACATGGAAGTGGATGTAACAGGAAAAAGATCAACATCTGGATATAGGTAGTACAACCATCATGCAGCCTTACCAATTTCCAGTGGCCTCTTCAGAGAAGAGACCTGTAAAGAACAAATTGATTTGGTAAATAAAGCTGAACAATTTAATTGACAGATATGTAGAGAAATCAGATTAAATTGAAAGGAAGGAACAAGAAGAACATGAAGTAAGATTAGGGGGGCAAGGAGGAGCACGTAGGAATGCTATCATATCTGAGATGTAAAGATCCAGTGAAAACTACTTTGGCTTTTTATCCATTTGGCAAAGTAACAAGGAATTGTTTAGGTAAAGGTTTTACATTAAAAAGTAAGTGTTTATGTAGAGTCATATGGTTAGTTGCACCTATATCTAATATCCAAGGATATACTTTTAA